TTTAATTGGATAACAAATTATAAGTAATATTATACTAATATGATAATGATATAATAATTATAATGAACAATAATGGATCATATGAATGTTCTACATAAGATTTGAATTATAGTAATTTATCAGTTGAACAGTTATTGAATACTTAAAACCATTATTGGATATTTATACTTTTAAACATTAAGGATTATAATAATGGTGAATGTGAAAATAACTAAACTGTATGTAACACGTTGTATTTTGAGTAATATATATTAAAATGTAGAAAATTCTACTTCATAACAAATATAGAGATTGGTTCATTTATCAAACATGTTTTGAAATAGATTACTTTAACATTTAAAAATTAATTAAGGATGTATAGTTGAAAGAATCTGAGCACTTTGATGTAATTTATGTCTATTTCTTGATGTGAAACAGTAGTTCATATTCATTTACATCTATTTATTAAGACGGTAGTACAAAATACATTTGAACAAAAGAATCATAATTTTAGAAATGAAATGTTCAAGTTTTTCTGAATCCTAATAGAATTATTACTTAGCATGGTATATATATACAATCAAATTATAGAAATACCACCAGGAATAATGTAGGATAGAATTATAAGTATAAAAGTATACCTAGTAATGAGAATATTTAAAATAAACAACGTAAACTTCAGGACATAAATGTTAATGCCATATTGCTTCTAAAATAATGACAAGTCAATTCAGTCAACCATTATCATAAAGTACGAATTCTCAACAGTATGAGTTCACTAATACTTCAGAGACCATACTTAGGTACTATAATTCTCGAGAAACACACATAACAATTAAAAACACTAGGTTATTATCCAGTTATACTATCCTATTTTCAATAGGTTTGAAATATATATATATATATATATATATATATATATATATATATATATAAATATATAGAGGGCAAGAGGAAATAATGAAAAAATAATATGAAACACGATATAAAATCCATCACTCTGGATAATAAGCCAATATTACCAGGGTAGGTTTAAGATGAGAACAAACTGTTTTTGAATACATAAAGGGAGTTTGAGTTTCCATGTGACTAAGGCTTCAGTAAACCTTAGTATACACCCTTTCAAACTTTTGTACAATATCACAAAAGCCATGTTAAGGACAAACTTATGGCCTTTTTCAACTATATGTTTGATAAAAGAGGATGATGGATGTTTACCATTTACTAGCATTGAATCATTTGATTTGATTTGTTTTTGCAACCATTTAGGTACATGTTCATAAACCCTAATTTTGAGATCCCGATTATTCCTTCTTATACATATGTGGCCACACATACGTTTAAATTGGTAAACACAGTGGGATGTCAATCATTCACATAGTTCTGATAATCTTTGTTTTCCTATCACACTACCCAAATTTATTAAAGGGACATATATAAGTTGCATGTATCAGAAATTGGAAGTAAGATTGTTACTGACAGGAGAACCTGAAGTGAAGAGAAAAAATAAAAGCAGTCCGAGTAACAACAGCAATGAAATAACGATAGAGTTTGTAAGAGACAATTCAAGAAAGGTGTGCAAATGCCGTATTGAATGTATTGTTTTCATATTGTACAAATGTAGTGTGTAATTTTATCTAATACACCAAATTGGTTTACACTAATCAAATCTTCGTTCATTACAGCAGCAATAATAATAATACTAATAATAACCATATTTTGCCAAATATTTTTAAAGAGTTATACGATTAATTTAACCATCTAAATTTCTTTGCTTACTATATCATATTGATTTTGATGAGATGTAAACATTCCTTTTAAAAAGAACATATAGTCTCAACCTCAGAATAATAATATTCACCAAATACTATTATATGGCTTGATATTAGCTTTAAATCATAAAGCAGGATTTAAAACAACATTTTATAAGCCAAACAAAAGTTGGATAAATCAATTCTGTTAGCCTACAACCATTAAGAATATGATAAGATCATTATACAAATTAGAAAATTTAGGAAAGTCAGCTTACAAGTTAATAGTAAACAATAATGATGACTAAGTTGTCATTGTTATATATGAGGTCTTAGTTGAATTCATGAGTTGATCTAAGCTAAACCATTGAAAAACTGGAAACACTTCAGTAGTGATCTGTCTTAAATCGACTCATGGATTTAATTATTAAAACTACTACAATCTCCACAAATCACCATATGAAGTCTTTGTTTTTCGATAGTTGAATAAACTGGAAACACTTAATACTTATTACTGTTCATGTATGGTTGAAATAGCTCATATATTTCGAGTATTTTGTTTCTGTTTTAATTAGTTAAAATGATACAAGCTCTTTATCTTATTAAGTTTGTAATATGAAATTTATTTTATCATACCCAAAATAAGATGAATATTTACAAAACATTAGCATATTACTTGTCGTAAAGTTTGTATAGATTAAAAACTGGAAAGTGTTTATTTTCCCTTGAAAACGTTCATCAATCGTTGGACGCCTGATTTTGTTCTGTGTTTCACACGCTTGATAAGATTATCAGTGTTATATTATGTAGAAATCGTATATTAGAACAAAACAACTATTCATTTATTTCTAATATATGACCATACTACTACATTTTAAAATGTTGCAAAATTATGCTAATTCGATAATGCAATTAACTTTTGTTTTTATTTCAACGAAAACAAAAGTCAATTAAGACTAGATAAAATGAACAATTCACTGTGAAAGTATTATATAAGAACAAGCCAATTAGAAACAAAGACGTAACTTTTAAGTTTTAGGCACAAAATCTAAATATCACGTATAACAAGTTGTAGAAATATCTATGTATACTGTTCAAAACATTTAAACTGATAACGGAAAATTACTTTTTATCATCACAGAATAAAAACAATAATGTCAAACAAATCAAACGCTCAATTTTGTCTATGTTTGTATCATATAATAGGTAAGTCGATATTCACTCAAGTCCTAGCTCTCAATCCGTAATCCTATAACAAACCCAGACCCAGTCGCACTATATTTTACAGATGAACTAGTTAGACGGTGTCTCTTGGATTTTTTTACGCCTGTTGCTCCCAATGGATTCATATGGCCATAGAGCATTGTTGCATTATAGATGGTGTAAGTCCACGATGAAAACTAGGACGCCGTCCCTATAGTATATATACTCTTGAATAATCTTCAGTGTGTAAACATTAATATAATACTGACCAACATAAACAGTGATTATATGTTTTTTTTAAAAATACGTTTGTTTTAATTTATCCTAGAGTGAATTACATTTCGTTTAAAAAAGGTGAATTTTTCAAAATTGTAAATATTATAAAATAACCACTTATTTACAAAAATATCTTTTCATTTCGCACAACTCAATTTACTGTTGAAATAAATAAAACATTATGCTAAAACAACGTAGCTTTAATCATGATACCAGAGAACAGTGAAGTAGAAAGCTTGTACTGACCTATGCTTTATTACAACTAACTATAATCTGATTAAGAGAACATCTGGAACAAATAATTATTTCACATAACCATTCATTTGTATAATTAACGATGATATTTTAAAAAATATAGATATGAATATGCATTTTCCTTACTAATCATTTCATATGACTTTTTACAAGTTCACATAAATAAGTCAACCAGTCATTGAATTGTTTTCATTTCCATGTTAAGTAGTTTATTGTACTAAATAAAATGTCAAGCTTTATAAAATTACATTATGTATCTGTAAATAGCAAGTGCTATCACACGTAAAATCTAAATAGTTCTAGTAGTATAGAAACGATAAAAAATTAATAATATGTAAGTTTGTAACAATTGCTCGTAGTAAATTCAGGAAGCATTTCCATCAGTGTGGGGTTGTGGAGACTGTTGTGTTTTTGATTGAGATCGTAAATCAATTAATGTTAGACCACCATTAAGAAACTGGAAGCACTGCACGACGGTTTCGTCCTAGTGTGCGACTCCTCAGCAATATGCATCCACGATCCCGCATGTGAGATTCGAACCCAGGACTCTTAGTTTCGCTCGCAAACGCATAACCTCTAGACCAGTGAGCCACTGTCAAACAGTTTAAATAACTTACTTCAACTAATCCACGAAATTGAGCGGCCATTTTCCATTGTCTGTCTCTACTTGACACAGACTAACTTTGCTGGTCACGTCATCTCACTATAACTCCACTATTAAAAACCTGGAAGCACTGGACAACCATTTCTTCCTATTATGGGAATCGGTTCATTATCTCCATGAAAACTCAAAAATCTCCACAACATTTATCAACTAATTATTATAAATAATATACAAATAGTGAATGAAACACTACTACAGTATGTATTTTATCAGCATCAATTAAAAAGCTTGAGATTTCTATCTATTTGGTTTTTATGACTTCATATAGGCTGTTACAATGTGCAGAAAAATATTAATCCTATACAAATAATTATCAACCTATAGTGTGAGTCATAGAGATGTCTCCTTGTAACTTTTGCAAACTGACAATACAATGTTTAGCGTGATAATCAATGAGTATATATAAAACTGTTATAATCTGTAGAAGACAATAATTTAACGACAAATTATCCAGGAAGTTTCAAAATGTAGTTTAACGTAAATATTTCTTATATCTGAATTCAATTCAAATACAGTACAATGTCAAATGTTGATAAACAAACAAAGTGAGTTATCAAAAATGCCTAACTTCCACTGAACTAGCTCTTCTAAAAATAAAAACTATCTATAATCAAGTGTTCACAAGTAGATAAGTATTAGCAGAAAAATCTCAAGAAAAATAAGAAATTTATCAACTGATCATTATACCCCTCAAAATAATTTGCACTTCAATGATATCAAGTACATATGATGGTTTGAGGAAAACAAATACCAATTCATTCAGTATCTATGTGCATAAAGCATTGCCACTTTTTCTTAAAAACCAAAGCATTCGTGATGCTACAGAAAACCAAATATTTATTTGAAATACAAGAAAATTATATACTGCTTACTTGTTGTTACCGGCTTTTCCATTCACTTCAATACAATCACCATATTGAAGAGCTGAAGGTAAAGCAAATTCAACTTTCATTTTTTTTTTAATATTTGAAATTCCAATATGAATTAGTAATTGATCATACAAATTGTCTTGTAGTTTATTTTTTTCTTTCTTACTTTCTTTCTCAAACTTATTTTTATAGTTTTATTAAGTCTGTTTTAAATTTCCTGATTAAAATGAAATTGGTCTATTGAACCTTTGAATAAGAACTATTGCATAATACAACATTTTAGGTTAAATAAATTGAAATTAGCATTTATAACACTTTTGATGACAGTATTAACTGTTATAGAATAGTATCACAGGAAACATTTTTAACAATACATCAATGTAAGTAATGGTGAAAATGATAATTATTCATTCATTTTATAATGACATTGTTTTCATTTAAGATAATAAAACAAAAACGAGTATCGATGATGTAGATTTCAATACTGATTCATCATATTCTAGTGTGTGTCATCATTACAAAATAATAATAAACTCAAAATGATTTGTTATCCAATATGTGAATAATACGTACAATACGGTCGTTAGGTATTAAACTCATATCTAGTCAAATTTATGCTTTGTCCGCCTACACACAATGTGCATAGAAATATGTTAGTGTGCACATGTAAAGTGTAATTATTTTAATATTCCGCTTCATACTAGACACACAATACATACATCAATAAACAAATACACACAAACAACCTTGATAATAGTGTATTTCATCTATTGTCATTTGCTCCTTTTTTGTACGTGATCGATTATTAATGGAAGTAAAAATATAATTTGTGTGTTTATACACCAATAAAGTGACAGAGCATTTTTATTGGTTACTCAGATCACTCGTCACTAGGTTTTTCATATAAAAAACAATAATAATGATAATGTACAACTAACTTATGGTGAATGTGGACTAACAAAAAACTCATTTAAGAAAGTAATCATAAATTAGTAATATCCCAATGAGTAAAAATACAAACTTTTACTCCATCGGATATCATAAAGATATTATTAATTTTGTTATTAACTTTCTACCGAATGCTACTACCGAATACTACCTGATCTAAGGCCAGTAAACAGTTTTGTCCTATTATGGGACTCCACAGCGACGTCCATTCACCAAACCGCCAGGAATCGAACCTAACACTTACAGTTTTCGCGGCGAGCGCCTAAACTTTAGACCACTGAGTCGGGATTCACTGATTGATTGAAGTTAGACATGCAAAACATTGGTTGCCGCCCAGTGTTCTAATGATTAAGGGCTTCCTGTAAGGCTTGAAAGTATTAGGTTTGATTTCCGGTGGTATCTTGGAAATGAACTGCTGATTAGTCCCATATTGGAATGAAGCAGCTACCCAGTGCTTCTTGATTTTTACCGGCCGTCTTATTAAGATTAGTCTTTTATATAAACTAGGAAAATATAAACTGCTGGATTGCAACATACTACCTAAATGCCATAATATACTTAAGAAATACTTATATTTTTAACTTGTTCATAAGGATGACTTAGAATGCCTGTTGTTGATTAATTAAAAAAACAAAGATGAAAAAGCGTTTTACTGATAAACACTTGATTACAAATTGCACGTAATCTTTACAAAACCACTTTAATGATTAGTGCTAATTATTGTCTCCAAGTCACTCAATGCAACTGATTCAGTACATTTAACCTAGAAAGTTCCACAATATTATTACTAATGATGATTCAAAGAATAAAATAATCATACATTTTCATATACAGTGCTTAAATAACCTGTATTTGATTGTACTAATCAATGGATTGATAGGAAACATTCTTCATTTGTATTTATAACTGAAGAGTCCGACGAATAAGTTATGGGAAACGATCATTCACTCTAATACTCTTTGTTCTTAAATATTCTATGGGAAATTTTAGTTTGTATTGTTATACTATGATCTTATTTCTAGATGGTGTTGTGTATGCTACTTATGTCGGTAGACATAAATAGTGTGTAAATCCAGTCGGAAGTGGAAAACCTGGCAGCGGAAGGCTAAGAAGTTCAAGTTGAAGAAAATGGAGACGGAAATAAGAAGGAATTGTAAATAGGAAGAATCGTATAGAATGTGAAGGACAAGCATTCAATGTATGATTCTCATATTTTACCAAGACATTCTGTACAATAGCTGTCCCCACCTGTTTCCACCTTCATTCCATTAGTATGTTTTGAACGGTGTTACTTTTCATTACACTGGGAAATAAAATATCATAGATTTTAAATATAAATTTTCATAACATGATTGTGCTTTCATTCAAAAGTGTTTTATTAGTGATTAGGTAAAAGAATGACGTTTTTCGTCTCATATAAGAATGATTAGTGATAAATCTTTAAATGACAGTTTAAATTACCGAGTTTTCTATTAGCATTTCTAAAATAATGAAATGCATAATTTATATTACTTGTTGGACATAAAAGTGATTTATGAACAGTTTTGACAGATACCAAAAATTTTGTCAGATAATTTTAATGATCTAAGGCTTATCACGATTCATGAATTCTAAAATAATAACAATTTGTTGAACTGGTCAAGTACAGTTTTAAATTGATCACCTAGATCAATCATGTCAGTAATTTTTTTGAGGTATAAAATCTAAATGCTAATGACAGTTTCGGTTTCTGCATGATTCAACCTTATATTCAATTAATTAATTAACGTTTACATGATGAAAGTAACTTAGAAATTTGACTAAAACTATTCACTCAGGTAATCTCTTTTAGATGTGTACAAAAAATAGTAACATTCGATTATCTCTTCATCCATGTTAAAAGACTATGACTAAATCAAGAATTTCAAGTGGGAAAGATATAGGAGTCTTCCTGCTTTTAACGTCTCCTTCTCAGATCTACTCTATTTTTGAAACACGAACTTTAATTTACTATTCGATAACACTAGTGCGGAGTGAAATTTATGGAAGACAGATTCTGCAGCATATACTCAGAGACGGAAATATTAACAAGTTCTACATGAACATTCCTCTATGTTGGGCAGTAATTCGGATCACATCATAGATGAAATTTCCACCGCTCTAAAACTATTAGATTTATAAAATTAAATTTGTTTAATACTCATGAAATTACTGTCGTCTTTGTTATAGCTATCATGTCAACGTCACGGTCTCTCAACATTTTTACGTCAATTACTGATTAAGCTGAAAGCATTCTGTTATATCTATATTTGTTGAAGAAAATTACGTGTGAATGCCCTTATTCGAATGAGTATAACAGTTTGAGGATAATCTTATATCAGGAACTGATATCAACCAAAAAATCATTGAAAGCCTGAAAGTACTAATCGACTGTTTTGTTCGAAATGGTAATTGCTAATAAACCACACATTAAATTCAACTCGTGACTGTCAGTGATTTACATTGCCAAGTTTAATCAACTTGTGATATGATATAAGTTTCTTTAAATGTGACTGATGAGTTACTATCTCACTTCCAACTAGTTTAATTTCTCAGGTCATAACTTTTTACTGGGACCCAACGATAATAATCCCAATGCTGCTCACGAATAAACATATGACTGCTATCAAGATAGGTGGCTCTCCAGAGGTAATGACATTAGTTGAAAATCACAGTTCTCTAGTTATCCATGGCACTTTAACTAAAGTAGTCTAGTGATAGAAAATAACCTAAAATGAGAATATGGCAACTGTGTAACCGTAATTACCAAAATACTCGGAATTCAAAAACCATTGTACAACGGTAAAAGTCTTCAGATAATTAAAATAACCAATCGTGTCACTGAATAATATTAAAGAGAATTTAGCGAAGAAAATTTTCCTTTCGATGAAACCATTTACTTAAGCTGTACATTCGTATTCATAGTGGTATGGTAAATATATGTCTATAGAAGGATAGAAAATATTGCATCATAAAGTGATTTAAGACTCCAAATACCAAATGAGGTTGTGTAGTAATCAGGGGCTTAGAGAAGAATAGAAGGATGAAAATAATTTACGGGTCAGAATTAAGGTATTCGTCCGCTTGACATATATGAAGGCAAAAAAAGAAAAACATAAAGGTTATAATAATAACTGAATAATGATCATCAAAAATTGTTAAAGGATAATGATAACTGATTACAGTTTAAAATTACGGAACAATAATTTCTAAAAAACAAGACCAAACATACTACAGAAGGGAAATAGGGCTAAAGAAGGATGAGAGGTTGAACGTATCATTTTTGTTCGCCGGGACCGGGTTTGAGTTGGTGGACCGCCAACGTCTAAGCAGTGCATAAGTTTTTGATTCGACCTCATTTCGATTCAATTCTTTTGATTGCGTTTGTTGTTTTGAAGGAAGACTCCTTTGGAGCAACGTGTCTGGAGATGATTATGTGCTGCGACATCGAACTAGTGACTGTTTTGCATTCTCCTTTTAAAATCCACACCGGATAATGTTCCGAGATGCGTTTAGAAAGTGATCGCTTTGTGCAGGTAATGCAACTTGTCCTACAGGAGCAAGTAAATTTATAGATACTAACCGATGTGGGTCAATGCAGAAGTTTATCAATAACACATCCGTGAATGCTAGGCCGGCTTCAGAAGACGATACGGAGCTTAGCTTAGTAAAATGTTTTCAAGTCTGTTTATTCAAGAGTCCGACAGTCGTGTCTCCTTTAAATTCGATATTCATAAAAAAAGTTGATTTTTTTAAACTGTCGGTGCTTCTTAAGGATTTCGTCTTGGTGTTAAGTTCCTATCGACAAATCTATGTAGATAATCATTCCTGGTGAGTATCTGTCAAAGTTGAAGTAGTTCATCTATTGTGTCATTGGAAAATAATAATCTAATCCTTGAGGATAAGTAGTGAATTAAGTCTCTCTTTTAATTCAATGAGGCCCAACTATGAAAATTCGTGTACTGACTATTCCAGGTCATTTTCCTATATATCGATCTCTATAAAGAATCACCTGAACTTTTCAACTAGACATCAAGAAAATGAAATTTCTCGTTTTCCACTGCTTCCAATGTGAATTGAATTGAGTGGAGACAAGTATTGAATCGATCCAAAAACT